GCCACACCTCTGAACAAACTGGGTAGACGCGACAGCTTGACCTAAGTCTCCTGTCCATCAAGGGCCTTGCAGACACGCTCGCCACACAAATACAGTATGGAAAGCAAGTTGAAGCCGCCGTGACTCCAGAGACTCGGTCTCTCTATGATGCTAAAACTGCTACCCAAAGCATTGCCCTGTGCCTAGGGAGCCCACCTGTCCATTTCTTTGGACGTCTTAGTGCTTTTTAACAGACCATGGGGCCTTTAAGTAACTTTAAGAAGCAGAACCAACTGAGCCTACGGCTGTCACCACCGTCGTGCAGGATTCTTGGTTGATTTATTTATTTTCCTATGTCTCTTATTTTTAAATTGGCAGTTCTATGATTTTTAACAATGTTCATTTGTTGTGCACCAATCAACCCCATTCATCTCCAGATCTCTCTCTGTCTCTCTGTCTCTCTCTCTGTTCTCTGTCCCTGTCTCTCTCTGTCTCTGTCTCTCTGTCTCTGTCCCTCTCTCTCTGTCCCTCTCTCTCTGTCTCTCTATCTCTCTCTCTCTCTGTGTGTGTGTGTGTGTGTGTGTGTGTGTGTGTGTGTGTGTGTGTGTGTGTGTGTGTGGTTCCATGCTGAAGGTCTGCAGACATTAAACAATAACTCCATGGCCCTGTCGTAGCCAGTAGCAACCATGGCCCTACTTCTGTCTGTGTGACCTGGACTATGCTCGATTTCCTACAGGAGGAATTAGACAGCCTCTGTCCTTTTGCATCTGGCTTATTTCACTTAGCGTAACATCCTCATGGCTCACCCAGCATTGGACTCGTGTCTACATTTTCTTCCTTTTCAAGGCTGAGCCATGTCCCACTGCACAGACAAAGCAGCTTTTGCATCCATCCATCATCCTTTGCGGATGCTTGGTTTAATCTTTTTAGGTTTATTTTAGCTTTGTGTATATGAGTGTTTTGCTGCCTATTTGCATGTGCACTGTGCGCATGCTTGCTGCCCACGGAGATCAGAAAAGGATGTCAGATCCCCTGGCACTGGAATTATGGATGGGAGTGACGATCCTGTGGGCACTGGGAAATGAAGTCAGGCTTCCCTCTTAACTACTGAGTCATCTCTCTTGCCCCATGCTTGGTTTAATTTTAAAAGTCTAGAAATGCCTAGAAAAAATTTTTATTTGTTTTTTTGTTTTGTTTTTTTGAGACAGGGTTTCTCTGTGTAACTTTGGAGCCTGTCCTGGAATTCGCTGTGTAGACCAGGCTGGAACTCACAGAGATCCTCCTGCCTTTGCCTCCCGAGTGCTGCTGGGATTAAAGGCATGTGCCACCACCACCCGGCCTAAACCTACAAATTATTTATCCAGCCTACATGCATGTTTAAGGTGCTCACAACCCCCCTTCCCCGACATACACACACTCAGGCAAGAACCAAGCACCTCTTAGCTGAGATCATAACCCCCTGTTTTTGAGAGGGATAGGGAGAGACACGGGTCCTCTATATATCCCTTCCTGTCCTGGAACTTGGTGTGTAAACCAGACTGTCCTCAAACTCACAGAGATCTACCTGCCTCTGCCTCCCATGTGTGTTCCATCTTTATTTAACCTGCAAAAGGTAGGTCTTAATGGAAACCATGAGAAACGTTAAGTCCCTAACTTTTAGGAATGCATAAGCAACCCAACTGTGGGATTCAGGATGTCCAGGAACCCTGCCCCAGGGCAATAGGCTAGCCAGGAATTCAGCTTAGTCAAGCGATTTGCCTAGAGTGGGGTTTGGTGGGCAGGAGAATGCTAGCGTCTCCCAAGGAAGCATTGGGTCATCAGTTTGGCCTTTCACACCACCAAATTGTGGGGTTAGGCAAGGGCTAGCAAGCCACAGTGACTTCTCCTCCTCCTGAAGTGACCCAGCGGGGGAAATTTCAGGTACACTCATATCACCAGTCAGTCAGCACACCCTGACTTGACAACACCTCTTGAGGGAGCCAGGCTCATCTCTGGACTGTGAAGGAGCCAGGAGGAGGTAGCGATGTGACCCCTGCCCTTTAGGAGCGTAGACTTGTGGGGATCCACCGGCTTTCACGCCCAAGAGGAACCTCGGTTTCACAGCCTCATGTTTTCTCATGGAAGAAATGTGTTGAGGGTGAGACTTCCTGCCTGGTTTTCCCACAAATCTCCCTCAGCATAGAAGGTGGAGACACTTATCTTTGCGATCAGTGAGTTAAGGAGAAGAAAACTAGGCAAGCCCTTCTGCAGTCTCTCTTCAGGAATTGCCTCAAGCTGTGTCTGTAGGACCCTGTTTGTGAGGAATAGCACCGGACTTGCCCAATGGTGCCATGGATGGGGTGGACCAACCTGCGTAACTCTAGGGAGCAGCATTTCTGGAGCTCGCTGTGTGATCACAATCCATGTCCTAAATCTCCATTGCCCTATCTGTCCCGAGCTGGAGAGAAGGAATGTCCATTACTTCGGGCCCCTTAGAATGATCATTGCTTACGGTTACTACAAAACACCTCTAGATCTCATCATCATGACTAAAAAAGTTTTAGATTTCAAGTCGCAAAATCCAGAGATGGTGTTCCTGTTAGAGGCTGTATGGCAAAAGCGCCTGTGTGGCTTCCAAGTCAACCCAGAGCAACTGGGCCCTACTCTGATGAATGCCTCATAGACCTGCCACAGAACGCTTTCCAGAGTGGAGCCGGAAATGTTACAGACCACTTCCATCCACTCTCTACCAGGTGCAGAGGAGGCTGGAAAGTGTGGTTCATTCGACGTGCCCCAGAGTTAAGAAGAATGCTGAACGTCGGTGAGCCTGAGTGAGAGCTACCAGGGACTGATCCCTTCGATGTGAAGATAAAGATTTGGGTTTCCCCAAACACACACTTTAGCAACAGAACTAGGAGGAAAGTCGGGAGTCTCAGAACTGGGAAGGGGTGAAGTCATACGGGGATCAGAGCCAGGGTGAGCGTGCACCCTGCATCAGGGATGGCAAGCTCCCTGTCCCCAGAAAAAGACGAGCCGGAGCTGACCGGATGGAAAGGCTAGTAATCAAATCTTCCACCAGAAGCCTGCATGACAGCAGCAGTTCCCACACCATCACTCTCCAGGGCCCTTTCATAATTTTCCCCTTTGGACCTCGTGTTTTGAAAGATTATGTGTAACAAACAAACTGTACTTATTGAGTAATAACAAATACATTTCCCCACTTACTCATGAAGGGTGTGTGTGTGTGTGTGTGTGTGAGAGAGAGAGAGAGAGAGAGAGAGAGAGAGAGAGCAAGAGAGTGCCTGTGAAAGGGAGAGAAAAAGAGTGAATGTTAATAACAAATACATTTCCCCACTTACTCATGAAGGGCGTGTGTGTGTGTGTGTGTGTGTGTGTGTGTGTGAGAGAGAGAGAGAGAGAGAGAGAGAGAGAGAGAGAGAGAGAGAGAGAGAGAGACAGAGACAGAGACAAAGACAGAGCAAGAGAGCGCCCGTGAAAGGGAGAGAAAGAGAGTGAGTGTTTCACCCGCAACTGGGCATGCTCACTTTGAACTCCATACTCCATACTATCATGTATTTGATTTCCTAATCACATTCCAGCAGTGTCTGTGATGTCACCAGCAGCCAATCAAATCTTCTGAACCACATTAGAAACCCTGCTTCCATGACTTAGCTCCAGTCAAAGCAAAGAAACCAAGAGTTCAGCGAGTCTAAATTGTCCCAGCATAGGATGGCAGTCTTAAAGGGAGTCCAGAAGCCCACAGCACAAAGTAGGACACTAGAGAATTCAGGAATCCCTAGTCTAGCTCCAGGATTCCTTTTAGAGTTCCTGCACACTGAGTTCTTCTGGGGGGGGGCACCAACACACAGCACTTGCTGTCTCAAGCATTTCAGCCCCTCCCAACTGTTACCCTCTGGGTGTGAGCGGTCACCCACAGACCCACCCACAGGTGGAGCTGTTTTGAGAAGTTGTGGAATCTTTGGGACACCCTCTGCCTTGGTGGCAGATGGAGACTTCTAGGGGGAATCTTGTAGGTTTACAGACTAACCCCATCTCCAGGTCTGTTCTCTGCTTCCTGGTCCTCCAAAATGTGAACCAATCACACCACAAGCACACACCACCACAGACGGAGCCACTCCAAGCTCCGTGTTATAAAGCACCGTGGGGTCTGTCCCTTAAACTGTTACCGTCAGGTATTTTGTCCCAGTGAGGAAAAAAATATTACACCAACAGATGATGGCAAGTGTGTGTTTGGTCAGTCGGATGGTTTGAGTTGTCTTGTTGGTTGGAAGGTTGGTTGATGGGTTTGATTTGGGTTTTTTGGGGGAAGATGGGGAGTATCTTTTCATTAACTGAAAAGTTTCTTAAAGTCAGGGGCTGTGTCTTCTGTATTCCTCTGATCTATCTTGGCACCAGATAGTCTCTCAATAATTATCACAAAAAAGTTAAAATCCATATATGAATATGATGGACTCTACCTTCTGCTTGGAAGTCAGGTAGGCAAACGGAAGGCAAGAAAACAGTCTCTCTTGGTGGGATCAGAAAGGCAGCCAAAGATGCAGTAACTGGGAGAGAATTTCCCCTCCTCAGCCAAATGCCCTACCTGTGTGTCCCACCAACTCTGGAGTCCTGGAGGTCTTCTGCTCCTTTTTGCGTAGGCAGGGTCTGGCCCAGGGCCTGTACACAGGTGACCCTTGACAAATTAGCTGTCAAAAACTTCCTCAGTCTGTCAGCTTCTTTCTCCAGTCACACTGTTGTAGCTTTACACCCCTACTAATCCCTTCTTGACACTGCTAGCACCAAACTACCTAACTCGTGTGTAGGCCTGACACAAGTTCTCAGAAGTGTCCTGCGTATAGAATAACTCATTTATAATTAATTAATTTCAGGCGTGCCCAGAATCAAAGTCATGAAATTCCTAATTTGGGATTGTTTTAATCACTTTTTTATCAAATATTAGTTACTTTTTTTTTTACTGTGATAAAATACCACATCCAAGGCAACTTATAAAAGGAAGCGTTTATTTGGGCTTGTGGTTTCAGATGGAGAAAGGTCCATCATAGTGGGGAAACAGAAGGCATAGTGACTGGAACAGGACGCCAAAACATCTTGAATCCCAAGCCTGAGGCAGAGAGATCGACCAGGGAATAGCACATGGCTTTTAAAACCCCAGAGCCTGCCGATAGTGACACACTTCCTCCAGCAAGACTGTGTCTCCTAAGCATCCCCAAACAGCGCCACCAACTGGGCAGGAGTATTCAAAATCCTGAGCCCATGGAGAACACTGTCCTTCAAACCACCACAACCCTTACATCCCAAATTGTGTCACGGTTGTATCCCGTATAGCTGCTGCTTATACTCTGCCTTGGTCAGCCAAGACTCTGAATGGAGAAATGGCATGAACTGGTGGCCCCTCCCCTCCTTCCCAGGCCTGATATTCCTATTTCTAGAAGAAGTAAGGCCCTTTGTCCATGCCTCTATTCCCTTAGATTCCCCAGGACCATCCAGAACACAGAATCACCAGCAAATAAGTATTCCACCAGAACAGCAGGGCCATGGAGAACGTCCTTGCCCTCCACCCTGATCTTGACCCTCCGACGATTGTCCCAGACTGTAAATGCTTACTTTGTGGCTGTGAGTGAATTATATCCCGCCCTTCCGCTAGACCACCAGCAGATGCATGTCTGCTGTCATGCTCCTCCAGTGTCTAGCAAACAGAGCAGGATGCAGACCCGGCTCATTTTTCCAACCAGTGACTGCACAGGTGAGCGGTTGAACGACTCCGCTCTGTTCACTACGAAGGGTCCCAGCTCCTCCCAGCTTTGCTCGGCAGACTGTCATGGTGCGCCAGAGAAATGAGGATGCCTAAATTACTGCATGGTCACAACGGTGACTTTGTTGTGTGACACAGGGTGAGTCACGTGACCCTGAAATGGCACGCATTCTTCGTATGAGCAAATGAATGAGGTGGAGAATAGACGTGTGCCGTAAGCTGGAGTCTCCGGCGCTCTGGGGATCCACAGCAACCCCTTCAAGGTCCCCTGATAGAAAAAGGGAAAGCGAGCCGACAGAGACGTAAGCCCAGCAATATGCAGGACCATGAAGCTCTGCTTTCAGCTAAGAAATCTGTATTCTGGAATTCCAGCACCTAGGCTTCTAGTCACCGACCACACAGTAACACCAGGATGCAGAAAACGGGCCAACTCAAGATGATGAAACATGGTGATACATGACGACACATGACCTTAGCCCTCTGGAGGCTGAGGCAGGCAGCTCTCCAGTCAGGCAGCTCTCCAGCTTAAGGCTAGGCGAAACTACACATTGAGACCTTGCCTCAGAAACCAAAACCAAGCAAAACAAGACAGTGCGAGCGTCTCAAATAGTAACGTAGGATGGGTATCGTTAATAAGGCAAATCAATATGCTGACTGCATAGAGTCCTGAGTACAGGGCTCCAGGTGGGAGGAAGAAAGGCTTCTTGGAAGTGGTGACATTTAAGGTCAATCAGGGGAAATGTGGGGGGAAGGAGGAGCCAGCACCCCAGGCACAGATGACACAAAGGTAGGAACCGGGAGTGTTGGGGACCAGGAACTGTTGAAGGCAATGACCGTTGCATCGTGGAACTCGGGGTCACAAGCAGGCAGACCGCTTTTCTTCCGCGTGTTTCTTGCTTTGGGGATTATTTACCTGTGTGTGCTTCCTCCCTAATGAAAGGTAACTCTCGGGTTTATCCTCCTGTGACTTAGCTCTCTGTGTTAATCGCACTAGGAGCTGCATCTGCGCAACATCTACTTATCACCATATTCAACGGGTGCTTGGCTTCTGTCATCTCTTCCAACAGCCACACTCTTCAGTGGTACCCTCTAACCCCATCTCCAGGCCGTGGTGTGACTCACTCAAGGGCTGGAAAATCCACTTTCACAGCGAGGTGTTGAGACAGTCGCTAGTGTACCACGCAGGCCAGCCTGCTGGAAAGCTACATACATACATGTTCCACTCCAGCCACTAGCCAATAACCAGCCAACTACAGACACATGACGGAGCCCAGCCAATACCGTCCAAGCATAACCTAGACCACAGACCTGCCTACCAGACCTTGAACCAAAAACCTTTTGCCAGACCAAAGTCTCAGGGGGGGCTGTGGGTTTTTTTTTTTTTGGTAAGTCAGCAACAGGTAGATAATGAAAATTTGTTGCATAATTTCTTTACCTTTTATTATCAAACAAAATAGGTGCACAAATATTAAAGAAAAAAAGGGGAACCAAATCCAAATCACAAGCCATCACTAACATTCCCCCCACACTTCTCCATTCCATTTCTCTTTCTCATGCCCATCCCCGATGAAAACCCCACCTCTTCAACCAAAAATACTACCCTCAATTGGCTAGTGGACCTGTGGCAGAATTCCTGTAATGGAAATTATATTAGCTGTGTAGCTCCTGAATAAAGTGCTATGATTTTTTAATTTAAAAAATGTAAAGACCCTACAGCAAAATTGACCAACTATGTACAAAGGGTCACTTTTTTCTTCTCTCTCTCTCTCTCTCTCTCTCTCTCTCTCTCTCTCTCTCTCTCTCTCTCTCTCTCTCTCTCTCTCTCTCTCTCTCTCTCTGAGAGACAGGGTTTCTCTATGTATCTCTGGCCCTCCTGGAACTCGCTCTGTTAGAAACCCACCTGCTTCTGTCTCCCAACAAGTGTTGGGATTAAAGGCGAGGGCCACACTGCCTGGCCAAAGGGTCACGTTTTTAAGTGAAATACATATAAAAAACCGTGGGATGGCTGAGGACATCAGACTCTCACAGCAATCTCATAATGCATTTCCAATTTCTGACCACAAGGTCCCACCCAAAGCTCACCCGGGCACAATACTGTTGGACTTTCTCTTGAGGTCATAAAGCATGCTGTAAGTGACTAAATTCCATTCAGCATTTACGTGTCCTTACAACACAGCTGTGTCTTTCATTTTTCCACAAGCCTTTTCTTAGGGTCATTCACAAGTCATGAGGCAAGAACATTAGTTCCTGTGTTAGTTTTATGTGGCGATGCCCCAGAATTCTGACAGGAACAAGAAAGGGGTGATTAATTGGGGCTCATGGCTCCGGGGCACTCAGCCTGTGATCAGGTGGCCCCAAGCGCTGTGCAGAGCATCATGGCAGCAGGAGCATGTGGGGGGAGGGGAAGAGAGCTGTCTACGTCATAGCAGGGAGGAGACACCGACCATCAGGAAATGGCCTCACCCCACCCAGCTACCAACAGCCCAAGTTTCCAGAACCTACAGAAATAACATCATCAACCTGGCCGCAAACTGGTCGGGGGGGGACACCAGTTGCAACCATAGTGGGCGCTACTGAAACCCACCCCTCAGGAGGGCCTCACATTCACACGCAACACCCCGTCAGTCCCACAGCAGCCTTGAAGGTGAGTGTGGTTAACCCAACTTACCGCTGAGGTCACGGGCCGCAGAGAAGCTAACCACTCCTGGAAGGTCACAGGTCACGGTTCTAAGTCCTTGTGTTTGGCCTTCAGCTCTCTCAACCGCTGCTCTTAACTGTGCTCGCTCTGAGAGACCTGCCGGCCTTAGACAGACTTGCATGATCGCTGATGCTCCCTTCCTCTAACTGGCCGTACCCGAACCGGACAGTGCCAACTAGCATTCACACAGCGTTTGCTGGCTGCTAGTCTTGTTCCGAACATTTTTGTGTGCATGGCACATCTAAACATCACCACAAGCCTGTGAGGTGGGGACTCTATCTTCATTTTACTAAGGAAGTAAGGTCCGTGGAGACTGAGTCAGGTGACCATCACCACAAGCAAATAGGTATAAAAATCCAAGTTTCAGTTCCATAGTTGATGGCCCCAAGCTAGGAAGTGACACCGTACAAGGTCACTGCACTGAGCCCTCCACCCTGGTTTGTGTGAGATGAGGGCCTTCAACGCTACAGACAGGACAGGTTCTGGAAAGTGGAGCGTGTGGCCCCTGGAGTGAGGTCAGAGACTAGCCATCAGTGGGCCTCAGGCCACATCCAGCCCACTCTGCTCAAACCACGGAGTACTTTGAAATAAAACGGAGTTTGTTTTGTGCTATGCGACTACTCTTGGGCATGGGGCCTTCCCTGGAGTGCGATTGTATACCAGGTGACACTCCTTTTGTCAGTGGTATTAACTTCAAATAGCTTCATGGTTGGGGGGGACCCCGTACCCACTTGCCCCTCTCTGTGCTGGGACCCTGTCTGGCTTCAACCTATGCGAGTCTCGGACATGAGCTCACATTTGCAATCAGAGGACCCATCAGCAAAAGCTCTGTTTTTGGCATTTGTTTCTTGAGTGTGTGTGTGTGTGTGTGTGTGTGTGTGTGTGTGTGTGTGTGTGTGTGCAAATGCAGGTGACCGTGCAATGCGTGTGAAGACCCAGGGTTGATATTGAATGTCTCCCTCTTTTGCTTTCACGCTGAGACAGGGGCTCTCACTAAACCCAGAGCTCACCGTTTCGGCTCTAGCTAGCCGCCTTGCTCTGAGGAACCAGCCTCTACCCCTCACACACTGAGATTTTACAGGTGGGCCACCTGGGTTCTTATGGGCTCTGGGCAGTCCTCACGCTTGGACATCAAGTGGCGCATTGACCCATCCCCGCCCCTGCCCCCTGGCTCACCCTGCACTACTTAAGACTCCAGGAGATGCAGTGCTCTGGGTGTGGGTGGGTGTGAATTCAGGTGTGCCAGCAATCCACTGGGTTCCAGGTCAGCAGCCAGTAGCCACTGGACCCCACCATCCTGGTGAGAGTCACCCTCCATCATTCACAGTTCACATGTGTTTGCCTGTGCCAATCCTAGCCTACCTGGCTCTCTTCTGTGCCTAGCCAGATGTTAGGTGCACTGGAGTGTGCGGCCTGGCTTATCAGCATCACCCTGACTCACTAGAGCAAGGTTTCGCCACCTTTTCCTGCAGCCTTGAGTCACCCAGGCAGCTCTGAAGGATCTGGGACATGCCTGAGTCCAGGAAAGTAAGAGCCTCTAGATCTAAGGCATGAAATTCATCAGATGCCCAAGTCAATCATGAGGAGAGGGGTTGTATTTCTCATTAGCTCCCAGGGGAAAGCAATGCTTACTCTCCAGGGACCACAGGAGAAGCCAAAAAGGACAGCTCCTCCAAGCCTATGCTCTCCCAGCCTGGCAGGTTCCCTACAGAGTCCCTGTCTCCTCTGAGACTGGGAAGCCAAGAGAGGGGCAATGTCACACAGAGTCAAGACCACCTGGTTTTCCACGTTTTACTCACACGACCTTCCCTCCGCTATCAGGGGAACTCTCCCATCTATCCAAGTGACAACATCTGCTGCTCACGCCCAGAGAAGGGACAAGGGTGATAC